AACAAGCCGCTCGTTGTTGGTTTGAAGCATTTGAGTCAACCTTGAAGGAAATCAATTTTCAAAACTCTCCAGCAGATCGGTGTATTTATATTTTAGATTTAGGAGACATTTCAAAGAACATTTATGTAGTATTATATGTTGACGATTTAGTTATTGCAACTCAAGATAAAAATACTATGAATAATTTTAAAGAATATTTAATGCATAAATTTCAGATGGTCGATTTAAAAGAAATCAAATTATTTCTGGGTATAAGAGTTACTAGAGAAAATAATATTATTATGTTAGATCAGAATGCATATGTTAATTCAGTGTTAGAAAAATTTAATATGCAAGATTGTAATCCGGTGATTACCCCCCTTGAACCTAAAATTAATTATGATTCTTTAAATTCAGATGAAAATTGCGGTAAACCCTGTAGAAGCATTATCGGTTGTTTAATGTATCTAATGATTTGTACAAGACCGGATTTAAGCGTAGCAGTAAATATTGTTAGCAGATTTATGAATAAAAATAATATAACATTATGGCAGTATTTAAAAAGAATTTTGAGGATATGTCGATGCTGATTGGGCTGACGATAAAATTGATAGAAAAAGTACAACAGGTTATCTTTTTAAATTGTTTGAAAATTGTACTATTTGTTGGGCTACAAAACGACAGGCATCCGTTGCAGGCTCAACAGCAGAAGCTGAATATATGGCTTTGTATGAGGCTGTAAGGGAGGCACTGTGGTTACGCTCATTAGCTGAAAGTATTAAAGTAGTAGTATCAGGTCCAATCGTTATTTTTGAGGATAATCAAGGGTGTATAAGTATCGCTAATAATCCTTCAAGCCATAAGAGATCCAAAAATATAGACATTAAATATCATTTTTCGAGGGATAAAATAGAAAAAGGACTAATTAAGCTAATTTATCTGCCCACAGATCAACAGATAGCGGATACATTAACGAAATCTTTGCCTGGAGTAAAGTTTGTGGAGTTCCGATCACAAATGGGTTTGAAATAGTTCTAAGAATATAATGATGATGTATTAGTATATAAGTGAAATGGTCTGATTAGGTTTTCCCATACGATGTTGGGTTTTCCCTAATCCATGAGCAACAAATGTTGGATCATATTAATAGTTGAAATGGGATTGTATTGGGAGACAGTCTTTACGAATTTGATATGAATATATATATATTCTAATTTTGAATTATAATAAGACGATTTATGTAACCTTTTTAATATGTTGTTGTTAATCTTAATTTTTTTTTATCTTTGATTCTAAATTTTAATTTTTAGAGATTCATTTTTGAGGGGGGGTGTTGAATTCTCTGATTCAAAAATGAATTTAGTTTAAAATATTTCTTTAGTGAAAATACTCTTTGTGTAAGCGAGAGTATTTCTCTCTATTTTGTAATATTTGGAAAACCTTGTTTTCAAACATGTGCATGCAGGATGTTTATGTAAGCCTGTAAGAAATGAATTTTATGACTCTGGGAACTTGGGTCAGTTAAGAGGACCTTTTTGTTACCCGTTAAAGTACTAGCTATACATATATATTTATGTCTTAGTTGAAAGTAATTTTTTATATATAGTTTAAGTTTACTTTAAGGAAAATAAGGAGAGGTTACTAGACCTCAGTATTAAATAGTTACTAAGATATAAGTTAGTCTAAGCAAAACCTTTGAAACGTAAAGACCAATTTCTTTCAACACGATGTCTTAAATAAAGAGATTATTTTAACTATAATATACATATTGCGTTTAATTAAATTATTTATTTATCACGATTATCCCTATAAATCCAACAGAAATCTACCTAAAAAATGACGTCGAATGTTTGAAAGGTCAAAATCTATGTATGTGATTTTTAAGCGAATTTTTTTCAGACCACCTTCTAATGAGCCCTTTAAATACATGCACATCATTCCAGATCATATTAAGCAGCTTAACAAAATAAAAGTTTTTTTTTCAGTTAATTTTTATTTATTACTAATAGCAAAATTAGTCCAATCGAATCGACATATTTTCCCTGTATTGTCCAGCATCGCCTTCCATTGTAACAAAAAATAAAAATTCTAGAACCTATTTATTTGAAAAACGATAATGTAAACGACAATAAAACAGTATATAAGTAATTTCAGGATATTGGATAATTAGTTTTACTATATTTAATGAACCTTGAACTAGAAGTTGAACTAATTGTTGATCTCTTCCATATAAATTACTTGCTTGACAGAAATAAGCTCCACTATCCGACGCCTCTGCTGAAGAGATTTGTAATTGTCCTTCAACACCGTCAGTTGTCACTTCCATTTTTGTAGAAACCCTTTAAAATAGTAGTATTAGTAGTTATATACTTCACATTTTCAGGGCCAGTTTTTCAATTCGAGATAAAGTTTTATCCGAGATAAAAGGATTGCCAATATGATAAAAAAATAAATAATTCAGCACAATGATATTGCATACGAGTAATTCTCCCTGAATTCAGTCACTTATTTTGAATTAAAATAAGTAAACATTAGCCACATGTCACAGAAATATTAACCTTCAACTGTGACAACTTTCTGATTGTAAATAATAAATAAAATAAAAATTAGGAAAACGGACGACCCTGAAGGCCATCCCTGCAACTTCCCGCTAATTCCATACCTAAGCACTTGGAATTACACTTATAACGTTGAGCTCTTCAAGCTCCAAATTACGATTTATGTGTTATTTTGAGCTTTCTGAACTCAAAGAGGTAGCTGCTCTATGCTTTGGAGTCCTTCGAACTCATATCTTGCGTTTGACATATCTATTATTAATTTATGATTGTGTTAATTAATCTATAGTAATATTATAAAGAGGATAGATTTGATTGTTTGTTTTTTTGCATTGAATAGGCTCCGAAACTACCGAGCTGATTTAAAAAATTCTTTCACTGTTGGGAAGCTACACTATCCCTGGGTGACATAGGCTATATTATATTACAATTAATTTTCAAATTTTTGTTAAATATCCGTGCGAAACCGGGGTGAACTGCTAGTTTAAAATAATTTAAATGACACAATAAGATGTTATCATTATTTTTATGATATATTTATGTATTTTTATTTAAATAAATGACCAAATTCATGGAGAACTAACTGAGAGCAATATCACGTCACTGAATTATTTATTTTTTTTTTATTATATTGGCGGTACTTTTATCTCGGATAAAATTTTATCCCGGATTGAAAAACTGGCCCTCAAGAAATATGGAATCGTCGTACACGGAAAAAAAATTATATGAAAAATTAAAATAGGAACATCGTAATCCAGGACTAGTCTTTCAATATCTTAACTTCTATGATTTTATAATTCGAAAATTACTATTTACTCATGAATTTTCACGATGTTAACATCGTAATTATCACAAATAATGTAAGTAATAAATAACATAATAATTTTTCAATGCTGCCGTCTACAGAATACAATTTGAATTATTGAAAATTACGATGTAATTTAGTAAATTTTTTTTCCGTAAGAGCAAGTTAATAAGGACGCATACTATATGTTTTAATAAAAGAGAGACAGAGTTCAGTAATTTGCGACGCCACCACTGAAAGATAACTAACTACTGTATAGAGGGTCTTATTGTGTGACTGAACAAAACTTTTAGATATTTTCTCAGATAACATAAGAGGACAAATCTTGGGCTTGTGACGGAGAGAAAACCAGGTTCGATTCCTCGGTGATTCAAAATTAATTTTTCGGTGACCGAAACTTCTCTTTAATTTGAGTGATAGAAAAAATATTATTATGGTAACATCATAATTTTTCTTGTAGTGTATAAGACTGTGCGTAAGGTTTAACAGTACAATTCTTTGAAAAAAATTTATGATGTTGCATCGTATAAATTATGATGTTTGAGTTCTGGTCCGGCACTACAATGTCCTATACTAAAAATTACGATGTTTTCATCGTAATTTTTTGTATAATTTTCTTTCCATGTACAGAGATAAGATGATCTAACGTAAAATCCGTAAATAATCAACTCGCGATTTGCCAGTTCTAAGACATTTCTTACACAATAAATGTAGTTTAGTATTAAATATAACGTTTCTATCAAAAATATCAATGTAGATTCGAAAAGTAAACTATAGAAATTTACATGTGAAAGTATGGATTTATGTAGGAGATATGAAATCCATAAGATATGACACATCAGTTTCAAATAAAATATCTCCACATCAGTACTTTTCTTTTGTATTTGAGTCACATTTAATTATTTTAATATATATTTATAATTTAATAATAATTATGATTTCAAAAATAATAATCAAAATAACAGTACTTAAGTCTTTTTTATTTAATTATTTATTATTATGGTCATTATTGAAAAAAAAATCAATAAATAAAAGAAGAGTCCTAGTGCGATTCGAACCCTAATCACTAAGACTTATAAATATGATTACTAGTATTATTATTATTTTACTATGTAGTACTTATTACTTATCATTAATTGTCTTTAAGTGCATTCCGCAATACATATTTTGTATAAATCTTATGGTTGTTAGGGGACATAATCCTACAACCAAAAATCAAAGCATTATATTATTAAAATTATTATTATTTTTGTTGTTATCATTATTATCATTTATTTTATAGAATATAAAGTGATTATAATGATAATGTTGTCAAACCTGCATAATCATTATTTCATCAGTTACATCAGTATCTACTGTAAATAAGTTTGAAATTATGAGTCAGTTACGAGTCACATCTTATTCAAAGAATGATAGTAAATGATATCCAGCGTCAATGGTTTTTCGGGTTATAAGTTTGTTTATTAATAAATTAAATGCCAATTACGCTCGGAATAATAACAGATAAATTATCTACATGTTTGTGTAGTCGATCCCCGAGAAAAAATTTTTCTATGTAATCATATATAATTGTATAATATATAATCATATGTGATTATATATGGAATCATATATATATAATCATATATAGTTATATATAATCATACATGATTATATATGGAATTGTATATAAGATCCGAACAAAAACAGTTTCACTGTAAAAAAATCGCGCCAAGTCCACGTTCATAAGACTGTCAAGAAAAAAAAATTTTTTTTTTCTTTACAAAAAGATACAAAATAAAAATTAAAAAATCCAAGTGACCGATATGATTGTATATGATTTTCGGAAATTAAAAAACATTTTGTTGTAAATTTAAAAATTAAAGAAATAATTTTGGAACGTATTTAGTGTGCGTGGTTGCCAAATATTTTACTTTTTATGAAATTCGTAAAATCTATTTACTAGGATTGAAACAAAATTGAAATACACAATGACGCACACCAAGAACGTTCCAACATTATTTCTTTAATTTTTAAATTGGTTCTAATGCGCTAATATTTTTATAAAGCTAAAAGAAAAATTACTCATGTATCAAATTTTTAACTTCCCGCTAAGGAAATCGGAGATTTTCAAAAATCGGGAAGCTATTGTTTTCACCCCATTTTACGAAAATCGAGTTTTCATCGAATCTCGACGTTTCGAGGTCCTAGGAAGCTTCCCTGACTATTCCCGCGGTGCTGTCTGTATGTGTGTGTGTGTGTGTGTGTGTGTGTGTGTGTGTGTGTGTGTGTGTGTGTGTGTGTGTGTGTGTGTGTGTGTGTGTGTGTGTGTGTGTGTGTGTGTGGTTGGTATAAAGCTAAAAGAAAAATTACTCATGTATCAAATTTTTAACTTCCCGCTAAGGAAATCGGAGATTTTCAAAAATCGGGAAGCTATTGTTTTCACCCCATTTTACGAAAATCGAGTTTTCATCGAATCTCGACGTTTCGAGGTCCTAGGAAGCTTCCCTGACTATTCCCGCGGTGCTGTCTGTATGTGTGTGTGTGTGTGTGTGTGTGTGTGTGTGTGTGTGTGTGTGTGTGTGTGTGTGTGTGTGTGTGTGTGTGTGTGTGTGTGTGTGTGTGTGTGTGTGTGTTTTTGGGGGGGGAATCCTTTTTACGGATTCTAGGCATAGTTGTTGGCCTGGATATGTAGCGACTCGACGCAGCGTCATACTAAAACTCGACGCTAACGCCCCTACCCACTAAACCCTAAACTCCTTTCCTCTTTCCTCTAATCCCTCATGGGAACCGCCGTTAGGCATTACTTCGTGAGGGGAGGATATAGCTACTGCTCTTCCTTCTGGTAGCTAAGGTGTTATTTTACCTTTCTTCTAGTTGTTGTCATTTGCTCTTCTTCTTTCGATGGAACGCAAGTCTATGAGGACTTCTGTTGCTAATGTGCTGATGGCGTTCCAGGACGCTCTTGATGACAACATTGCTTCTACTATTGTCTCCGATTGGATTTTCTTCTTTAGGATCATCTCCAGCTCATCTCGCTGTGGATAAAATCGTGGGCACTCAAAGAAAACGTGCTCCGCGTCTTCATTGATTCCTGGGCAGGACGGGCACTCCGGTGAATCATCATGCTTGAAGCGGTGAAGATACGTCCGAAAACATCCATGTCCTGACAACATCTGCGTCAGATAGTAATTGACCTCGCCATGACTTCGGTTTAGCCAAACGTCGATCTTCGGTATGAGACGGTGTGTCCATCTTCCTGTTGTCGCGGCGTCCCACTGCGATTGCCATCGTGTGATGCTGTACTGCCGTTCTTCAGCTCTGAGTTCCTCGGCACTTAATGTGGTTGTCCTCTTTCGATGGTAAAGGTTCCGTCTTTCCTCAGCTAGGACTCTGAGCGGCAAAGTTCCGGAAATGACACACACTGCTTCCTTTGATATTGTTCGAAAGGCGCTGGCTACTCTTAGCGCGCTCAGTCGGTACACTGGACATGCTTTCCTCCATGATTCTTGGATCTCAAGTAAGTCGACCCAAATGGATATACCATATGTGAGGACCGATGTAACTACTGATGATAGCAATAACCTCCTCGTCTGCTTCGGGCCACCGATGTTAGGCATCAATCGTACTAGGTTAGCCACTACTGCTGATGCTTTGGCGGTCACGTGTTCAACTTGTTGTTTGAAGTTAAGTCGGGCATCGAGCATTACTCCCAGATATCGAATGAATGGTTGGGATGTGATTTCTTGGTCTCCGACGTTTAGATTGATCGTCTCCACCACTTTTCTGCTAGTGATAAGTACAGCCTCGGTCTTCTGTTTAGCCAGTTACAGGTTTACTGTGTCCATCCACTGGTTAATTCGCTCAAAGGTGATAGCAAACATATGTTTTATCTCATCAAGATGCTTGGCGACGATTACTACGGCTACGTCGTCCACGTACTCTATCAGTTTGACATTTCTTGGTAGTTTCAGCCTCAGCAATCCA